TGATTGATTTGGTCAGATATTTTTATTGAGAAAGTTTCAAGGAACCTGACCATTTGAGAAAACCTTAATGCATATATCTTTTTTTTTTTTTTTTTCACGCAAGGATGACTGTGAAATGTCAACACTACAGCTTGATTCAGAATGCTCAACAACCCATCAATGTTGAAGCATCAGAAGATCCATGTTAGAAACTAGTTTAGCATTATCATCCATATTAAGATTGTAGTTCTTGTGGACTATATTCTGATGCTAGATATTCTGGTTTGATTTCAGGAGCAGAGGCTTAATTATGTATTGGTACCACCGTTTCAAGAAGGAATTTTGAACTGGAAACTTTTGAGGTAAGCTTGTTGGAATTTTTATGTTTCCTCCCAAATTTGTCAATGCCTTAGTTTGAGATATCTGTTGTTCTAGTCTAGTACTAAAAATATAGTAGGTCGGACTGGACCTTGTGGAGGAACCCATTCTGCTTATATGTGGGCTGGATAACGGGTACAGAGTGCAGACACTCCTAAGGAAGGGAGAGGAAAAATTAAGAAACTTCAGTGAAGGTCATGAAACTTTGGCTCGGTCTCATTCATTAGCCAGACTTAACTAGGCCGCCTTTTTAGTCCTTCTGTTATAAAGTTTATATATAGAGCTTACTGCTTATCAATTCAATTTTGAAAAATAATTAGAATTTTTATTTATATTTAAAAATTAAAATAACATTTTATTAAATATTAATATTTAAATTTAAAATTTTATTATATATTTTAATATTTTAATATTTAATAGTATAATTTTTTAAATTTTGAATTAAATTTTACTTAAATAAAATGATATAATTTATGATTGAAACTTTAATTATTTTTGAAAATTAAAATTAAAATATATTTTTTCCTTGTATATATACATATATATATATATATGTATATACATTTTTGAATGGTTACAAATTGGAAGGGGGAAAGGAGGACCTTAGCGCACGGTATTACCAAAATTCAAATATTGGTATCAATTAAGATATTTAGTGCATCAATTAACTAACCTACAGACATGCTGTTACTAGAGTTTATATTGGTCCCAATTTTTACCCAAACTCAGACACAATAATAAATTTGCCATTAGGCATTAAATAAATAGCAGTACCATTTAGAAAAAGTCAGACTGAAGAGTACAAGCTCATTGGTTGAACTGTCATTTGAGTCCTGTCCTTTGTTTGTTGTGTATACACCAAGTAAGAAATTGGGTAGGGGAATCAAAAACCTATTAAAAAAATCCATGTCCTTGTCACAGAAGAAAACTTATGAACCCTGCAAAACCCAGGGCTCCTTCCTTGTGAATGCCTAACGAAAACAGTCATTGAATTGAATTCAATTCAACATCATTATAATTGGCAGCACATGTTCATTGGGAACATAGCGCATCTCAAAATTACGAATCCAATTCAGGTTTCACTTTTTAGCCTTTAGGACATTTTCTCAGCAATGAATGAGAAATGGGCCTACTAGTGGGAGCAGCTTCTGCTGAACCGCACGCTGATTGACCTCTCTTTTTGTCCTCATTAATGGTGCCTGATGACAAAGAAATGAGTGCTTGCTTTTATGTGCGTCTAAGCGTCTTCAATGCTTTGCTACTCCTTGATCTATGAAATCCTTTTCTCTTTGCATAAAAAAAAAAAAAAGAAGAATAAATAAAAGGACATCCTTTACGCATCTTTTTGAGCGGAGAGAAAATGGCAAATTCATTAAGCACCCCCAAGGCAGTTGAGATTTTGAAATTTGATCAGTTCGCACTTAGCACTATTCTTAGTGAAAGGAATTGAGGAGTAATAAATAGGTCAATTAATTACGTTTTATTTTTTTTTTTTTTAATTTCTCGCCCGATATCCGAGGTTTCGCCTCGACTAATTCGGACTTGATCCGCGTCGCGCACCTAAAAATGGTGAGTGAGTCTCTCAGCGAAGACTGCTACATCCATAAGGTCTCAAATTCGAAATCTTACTTAAGCTGAAATAAGCCGCTTATCACTTGATCCAATCACTCGTTGGTTTAATTACATTTTATTTGCACGAGGTATCGTAACTATCGTTTGGTTGTTTTTAATCTTCAGTTTCGTAATTTTCAGTACATCATTGAATTAAAAAGTATATTTTTTTCTATAGGAGAAAAATTCAGACAAAGAGAATATGAATATAGAATTCTTGGCAGAAGGTGCAATTCAGCCCCTCTACGTCCATTGTTGTGGCACATCAGCCCCTCTACCTAAAAGTAGAGCAAATCAGCCCCTCCACTTGACAAAACCCGCAAATCAGCCCTTCTGCTGACGATGACCTCATCAAATGTCATCTTTCCATCCACATCCTTGTTACTTCGTTACCAATAAATGGCTTGGTGCTGATATGGCATTGGGTAGGTGATGTGGTCAATTTAAACTGTAAAATTACTAAAGAATCTTTATCTACTTCCTTTTCTCCCATTCATCTTCTCTCTCCTCCTTTACATTCTCTCTCTTCATATTGCAGATTTATTTCTTCTTTTTTTTCAATAGTTTAAATTGAAATTTTTTTAAGATAAATTTAAACTTTAAAAAATTATTAAAAAAATCATCAAAATATGAAAATATAAAAGTTAAAAAAAATTTCAAAATTAAAATCAAAACTTGTGGCTTTGTTGACACCAAGTAATTTGCTCATTAAGTCTCCATTTCCAATAACCCAAAATCTAC